GTCCATGCCCTTCAACGGGCCGCCGTGCGGGGTCACCCCTGCGGTGTCCCTCTCTCTACCTTCCCACCCCTCCTTCTCCTCCGTACAGGTCCAGCATGCCAGCAAACAGATCACGGCGGAGAAGCAGTACAAGGGCATCATTGACTGCATAGTCCGCATCCCCAAGGAGCAAGGCATCCTCTCCTTCTGGAGAGGCAACCTGGCCAACGTCATCCGGTACTTCCCCACCCAGGCCCTCAACTTCGCCTTCAAGGACAAGTACAAGCAGATCTTCTTGGGGGGGGTGGACAGGCACAAGCAGTTCTGGCGCTACTTTGCGGGGAACCTGGCATCCGGGGGCGCTGCGGGAGCCACCTCCCTCTGCTTTGTCTACCCGCTGGATTTCGCCAGGACCCGGCTGGCGGCTGGGGTGGGCAAAGGAGCCAGCGAGAGGGAGTTCACTGGGCTGGGCGACTGCATCGTCAAGATCTTCAAGTCTGATGGCTTGAAGGGCCTGTACCAAGGATTCAATGTGTCTGTCCAGGGCATCATCATCTACAGAGCAGCCTATTTTGGGGTTTATGACACGGCCAAGGGTAAGAAGTACATGGAGAAGTGACTGCAAGGGAAGATCCATCCAGTAAAGGCACTCTAGGGCACTTGGCAGTACAAGGACAAGCGGGGCTTGGCTCAGCACCAGTTCAGGGTGGTAGTGCTAGAATACACACAGGTGTTTCTGAAGTGCATTCTTATCTCCCTCAACTTGCTGCTCTGAGCAGAAGCCTTGGGTTTGCAGTGTGTTTTCAGATGCTTTCTAGTTTTTCTCTGTCTTAAGGCTTGTACAGATGGGCTTGTATGGTAGCTTGTTACTCATTGCAGCTCATGACACAAGCCTGGGAGGGTTCTGCAGGAGAGACCTTTTGGTCAGGGAGCAGGAAGAAGACTTAGATCCCAAAAGCCAACAATCCTATAAGCTTGTTTCACTCATAGTACCTGGTAATAGTCAAATACGGATGAAGGTAGAAGTTGCAGGCTTGATTGAGTTGACTTGATTGAGTGACTCCTGGAGTTGGTGAGTGATTGTTCCTTCCACAGCCATCTCTCCCACAGTCCTTTGCCTCTGTACTGACTCTGCTCATTTGTTCTTGATGGCAGGTATGTTGCCTGATCCAAAGAACGTGCATATCGTAGTGAGCTGGATGATTGCCCAGACTGTCACTGCAGTAGCAGGGCTGGTTTCTTACCCTTTTGATACTGTGCGACGTAGGATGATGATGCAGTCTGGCCGAAAGGGAGGTAAGACTAAGTGCTCCTATGGTGTTCTGGCAGCAGAATGTATCTCTTCATTGAGATATGATGGGAGATGCTGGGTATTTTTTGTCTTATGGAAAACTAATGACCTTCTTACTGGGATCCTTAAAAAAAAAAAAAGCTATGGGAAACACATTGCTGGTTTTCTGTCATGCTCACTTAAGAGGCTGCGAGTTGATTTGTTTTGATTTCCATGGGGAGAATTAAAATTACTTTTCACTAATTGATTACTTAATTTTAAATTCTTGGCTATAGTTTGCTTATTCCTTGTTGTTTTAAATATATGAAAGTTGACACAGACTTGCTGTATAACTTCAAGCCTTCTGACCTTTATGTCTGTTTCCACAGCTGATATTATGTACAAGGGCACAATTGATTGCTGGAGGAAGATAGCTAAAGATGAAGGATCCAAAGCGTTCTTCAAAGGTGCCTGGTCGAATGTGTTGAGAGGCATGGGCGGAGCTTTTGTATTAGTACTTTATGATGAAATCAAGAAATATGTCTAAAATGTAACATAATGTAGTTCAATTGTTCTCAATCAACTTTTTTAAAAAATATGCTACTGTGATGTAATGGACAACAAAATATTTCCTAGGGAAACAGAATAAAATTTGAGGAACATATCTGGTTGAGATGAGGATGCATTAATTTAAAAATTGTCCACTACATCACAGTTACATTTTGTATGAAAATTCCTCCAACATTTGTTTTGGAACCTGTGTATATATTATACTTCAAATTTCAGGTAATACATTTTGTCTAGAGACAAGACTTAGGTGGTCTACACCTAGTTTGAAATCTTAATATTGTGAACTCCTAATAGAATGAGATCTTCAGAAATACCTATTGTAAAGTGACGTCTCTGGCTACCCAGCAGCATGATGACATAACATGAATCAAAATCATGTTTTCTTCTAAAGCTGTATTTTTTAATAAGATATTAAGTGAAAAGCATGTCTGAAAATACAAACTATACTAAAGCACCAGGCTGAGTTCCTAACTGCAGCCTCTTCACTGACAAATTATACAATCATATGGTTGAAACAAGTTATATGATTTTTCAAACATATTTTGCAGAATATGGAAATAGTGTTTCAGAAGTTCCCTGTATCTTCACAAAGCAAAAAGTTGTCTGCTCTGATGTTCAATTGAACTAAAACTGAAATCATGAAATAAATTAATATATTAATGAACTTTTTCCTGTTTTCAGTAGACTGAACAAGTACAAGTACGTGTCCTTTAAGGTGATGTCCTAATCAGTATGCTATTAGTGATGGTCTGGTACTGCCTAAGCCTCTTGAAAGTTTTTCAACAGAGCTTTAGGTAGGTGGAATGGCTATTGATAATTCTACAACAGCAAAACCAAATGGATTCAGCTTGAGGGTACTGCAGCCAGTTGTCTTACAGATAAACTACCATATAGTCTTAGCTGCTTTGAGAATTCATTTGTATTACCCTGAACTTTGAACTAAGTGTGTCTTCATTTGATAGTGAAGTCATTGCTGCTTATTTTACTTGAAAAAGTATTCTAGAATGGAATATTTCTGAGTTATTTTAATAACTATATTTCCAACTACACTGTTATTAACAGCTTGAGGTATTAATTACCAGTGAGATCAGAACATGCTCAGTACAGTTTTTAAACTTTAGATGCTGCACGGTTGGACTCGATGATCTTGGAGGTTTGAGGTAACCTTTAATGATTCTATGATTCTATGCTCAATACAGTTTTTAAACTTTAGATGCTGCACGGTTGTGAACTCACTGAAGAATAGGTTCTCTAATTAGGCAAAGGAGGGAAAGTGAGCTGTGTCCATTTCAGTGGTTCAGTTAGACTACTTTATGTATCCACCTAGGAAAAGGG